ATACTATTATATGATATGTATTCGCGGTAGGTAATTCTATTCTAATCTCTTTCAAAAAACCTTAACAGTTTTTTTTTTCTACGTCTTAACGCAAAAATTAAGTTATAAGATTATCAGGTTACATCTTTTGAAAAATCATGTGCTCTCCGATTAGGTTCGGATGCGATCGTCGATCGCGTGATCTGGACATTTTTTTGCCATGACTAACCTATCTACAATAAGCTAAAATTACATCATAATACTTATGCACTATTTCGATTGCTATGAAATCGCATCTGAGTTGATGATTGAGAACACTTTTTATTGGTTAATTATGTATCGGAGTTTCGGCATAGTTTTTGCAGTTTCGGACTTTCGGCCAAGTTTCGGTTAGGAGGGCAATGTCCGAAACTGGTAATACCAGTTTCGGTTTCGGTCAACCCGAAATTATGAAGTTTCGGGCAGCATCATTACTATAGGCACAGGCACGGCACAAGGCACTAGTGCCCGGCCTAGTGCCAATATGCCGGGCATGGGTGCCCATACCCGTGTGCCCATGCCCATGCCCGTGCCAAATTTTTTTGCCCATGCCATGCCCATGCCAAAGTTTTGTGCCCATGCCTATGCCTATGGCAAATTCTTATGCCCGTGCCTATGCCCATGCCTAATCTTTGTGCCCATACCCACGCCTGTAACTTCTGTTGGGCATGGGCACGAGCCCGGTTTGCAGACCCCTACTTGACACTAGTAGTCTTTTACATAAATTTTCGTGCAAACTAAACACCAAGCATGTTGGACAAGCGTTGGAACGAAAATTTAATAACATAGACATTATTGTTATAATTGGTCATAATAGCTTTATTATTTTTATTATATAATGGATCATGCCGAAATCACTAGCTTAACCGAATCGGCCAAACAATCATTCGGCTAATTTTTATCAGATGTTTCAGGAATTATGATAATAGCTGTAAATGGTTACAGCTGTTTTTATAAATTCTGGGACACCTAAAAATTTTCTCGTTTCCCGGAATCTTTTCGGGTTCGTCCGGTAAATTACCTAACTACATCGCTGTCTCCGGACTGAAGGTTCATGTAGTTCCCAGAGAGTTAGGTAATTTACCGGATGAACCCGAAAAGATTCCGGGAAACGAGAAAATTTTCAAGTGTCCCAGAATTTATGAAAACAGCTGTAAGAAAATTTTAGACGGTTCCAATCCCTAGTTCCATCACATACTTTACCGGAATGATATTGAGCCTCTTTTATGGTTACGTCAATTCAATCGCACTTATCCAACCTGGATTGCGCAATATTTTCAACAATATGAATCAAGTAATATGACTAAACAGCATAAAACTTTTTTCAGTAACCTAGAGCTCGCTATAGTATATTACTTACTCTTACGACCATATTGTCTTAGCAAAGCTATTACATAATATATAAAAAAGAATGTGTTCAAAAAATATGAAATTTATTATGATATTCTATTTTACGTTTATACTAATTCCTTTCAATTCAGCTTCAGCAGAGCCGGGCTACTGTAGATCCCTTTGGAGATTGTATGGATTATTCATATTCCACAGACCACATCATGTTTCAACTTGCCGCTAACATTAGCAGAAGCGAATTTAAAGAGGCAATTGACAATTGCGATGTGTACAACTATTCTGATATATGCAAATTCGTTCTTACCAAGATCAATTGGAAACTAGCGGATCCACATATCAATGTGCTGTATTCCGAGATTGATATGACAATTGAACATATCTGTCCTCGATCAACAGCACAGCCTCTTGGCGTTCTGGTAACTGAATATACACATACTGTACTTTACAACTTAATATTCATTTTTCACTAACAAGTTTTACATATGTACCAGTTCATCACGGAGGTTGGCATCACAAAGTCATAAAAAATATTTGCAATCTTGTATTGCTCAAGACCCTCCAAAGTTCGGTTCGGGAAAAACTATACGATCAAAAGTATTCCAAATTTCGGGAATCCAGTTTTGCGATTACGCAACATCTTTGCAAAACCTTTCCCAAATCATTCTCGTCAGAAGATGTGGAAAAGAGGCACGCACTCCTTGTCGATACTTTTGTGAATATCTATTATGACTAGTCATAAGTCATTTGGTTATAAATAGCGTCGCCAACTTAATTATAATTAGATACTTAATAATCTTATCTGAAAGAAACTCTTACCAATATTCCTTTATTTTTTTCCATTTTTGCAGGACGCCCATAGCTTCAATATTTTGAACAATGACAAATTGCGCAACGTTACTTGTTATATATAACTGTCGGATGAAAACAATTGATATAAAATTTAGTTTGAGGAACATTTAGATTCAATTCCAATTTCCTATTCACTTTGTGTATGCATGTTTATTTTTCAGCCACGTCGATATTTCAAGATCTAAAAATTTGCCAAACTCCGATTCAGTCATTAGCACATGCTCTTTATCGTTATGTAAAAATCTGTTTGATGAGAATATTCGATAATAACGTTTAGACTGACAAGTTTGAGTTCAAATTCCAATTCTGTATATCTACGTAACGTTTGAAATTCTATTGCTTTTATTTCTCATTTTATGTATTTTTCCCGTCTTTCTCTTTGGTTAAAAAGATTTTATAATAAACTTATTCACCATGCATAAATATAGTGAATTGACGAATATATTGAGCGAAAGTGATCAGCGTGAAGTTTCACGCGCACATATCTTTTATTTTTCAGTTAGCTCAAAAAAAAAACAAAATATCTTTTTATAAAGATAACTTTAATTATTTAAAAAGTATTAAACAAATAAAAACAGTAGTAAATTTTATATGACCAATTTTTTATAGCATTCTAGTAGTTAATGGAATATCAGGAAATAATTTTTAGACATAGTATTACTTAAGACTCTAAAATTTACTTGTATACTATTTTTTATAAGTATGTTTTTTTACTTTTAGGTCTAGATTTATGTTATATAAATCAAGCCTCTGCAAATAACGAGCTTTTATACAGTGTTTTATAATAGTTTTGAGACAAATTTGCTAAATACAGTATAATAGTGATTTCTCCGTTAAAAATTATTACCAATTTATTGGGACTTTTAATTCGACTGGCATGTATGAATTATATTATTAGTGACCAGATATAATTGTTAAATACAGTCAGACCTCTCTAAATGCATAACCGCGGGCAGCTAAAAAATCTTGTATTTAGAGAGGTATTGCATTTAAGGAGGTGTGTCATATGAGTTGGGGCCAAACAAGGCCATGCATTTAGAGAGGTCTTTTATAGACCATGCATTTTAGAGAATATGCATTTAGGGAGGTCTGACTGTAGATGGATCTATTATAGTATTAGGTGATTCGTTTAAATAAGTTAAATAAATCATTTGGTGGAAACCTTTTGATCTCAACTTCCAACAGCTACCAGTTTACTCAAAGACCACGTGACAAACTTTCGTCATCTATAAAAAAATTTCTTAAACATTGACCATCCAACTGTGTAAATCAAAATTTTTGTATTAATAAGTATATATATGCATATGTAAGCGTTAATTATTTGAGAATAACATAGTGACCATTTGGTGATAACGCTATGTTGTCTAAGTTTACAGTATCAACTTGAAGCACTAAATATTTGATAATAATTCGATTAATGACATAACTAAAAAAATTCATACTTTAATAATTTCCAGTCGTCAGTACACATTTATATACACCTATAAATCCCTACATTCATGACGTTCTGCTAAAATGAACCATGGTGGGTCTTCTCGAAACCAAAACCCAATGCGGTATCAAATCTTTCCTTTATTGTAATATTTTGGGTCTTGTATAAAGTATCCATTTTTAGTTACTAAAGACCATATCTTATCCTAAGCTTCGAAAAAAAAAAGAGCAAAAAGAAAGAAATTATGTACATTGATTTTTTTCCTGAAGTAATTTTATTGATGCTTTTACCATCGAGATCCATTTTACGTTCAGTAAACCGGTAGGAGTTTCCTTTATTGATTGTTTTTCATATAGGATCACATACATATGAACAATAATATCATTTAAGATTTGCAGCTAAAATCAAAGAAACTGATCATTCTATACATTAGAATGGTTGAATCCACGTGACACCTAAGAGTGTCCGCATTACAGATGACAATTATATTCTCAACAACTGTTGCAATGTATTTTAAAATCGGGAGTACAAACCGGCAAAGTTTGAGAACTGTTTGTATGGTTTACGAAATGTTTAATCGTAAAAGATAATTTATTAGTCAAATTTACGTTTGATTCTGTACATGATCAAATTCTTCCGATTGGCTAATTTTTTTTATACTGTCAAGCCAGCATTAGAAATTTGACACGACGATAAAAGAGTGACTAAAATATCGTTCTACACATTTTTGCTTAAAGGTCGGAAGTCAGCTTAATAGTAAAATTTTTGTGTTACAGCTAATTTCATTATTCCTGGGACAACTAAAAATTGCCGATATCCGAATCGATAAATTACTGCTTAGAATTGATAAGTTCCCTTATTGATTCGGTTATCAAAAATCTTATCAGTCGTCCCAGAAATAATGAAAACAGCTGTAAACTAATATTGAACCTATTTAAGAGATACCCTTAGTATAGTAGTTCCCGTAATTAGCACCTAGGTTACTATTCAAAATTTTGATGACTTACCCGGGTACTATAGTCGGTACTATAGTCAGTGGCGTACCGTACTCAAACTCGTTATGATTATGATTAGTACTAGATCGCACACCCTGTTCTAAAATAAATTGCATGGTGATATATTATTTAATTGTTAGAATTTATTACAAAAATTAGAAAAGGGAAAATCTATTTGTCACCAACGGATAAACTCAAAATTATTACTATAGATTAACTTTATTGTTTTTAACAAAAAAATCTTCATTGTTATATATTATGACCTTTCTACCCCTTAATACTGTATAACTAAATAAAATCCGTCATTGTCACTGCTGGTGATAAATAGATTATTTTTGTAACTACAGTATATAAACAGCCCACTATGTAGAATGTAGTTTAACGTTACACAACTTATAAAAATCTTTTTTTATATTATTTTAAAGTACTTCGAA